TCCAAAAAGCTTCTTAAGTTATCAAGTACATTGACTGGGACGTTCGGTGGCTTATGCATAGCACCAACGTATACCGTGCGATTACTCAGCATGGTTTTGATCACAAGAGCTTCAGCTTCAATAGCATGCATAAGGACACTAACTATTATATTGTCTTTAATTAAAATTGCAACACCACCTCCTCTTGTTTCACAGTGTCTTCTCACAATTTTGTATCCAAAAGGGGTAGCCTCGGCATATAGTATTTCGTTCTTCAGCCATGTTTTGTTCATTACAACGAAGTAAAATTTTGGTGCGAATAGGGCCAAATAGCAAGCACGGGGGGATGTGCCTTTGGAAACCAACTTTCTTGTTTCTGGTTGGATCTTAATAAATTTTGCACACACACTAAAAATGGCCTCACGGGGCTTCCACCAAAATATTTCAAGGCCTAATGAGAGACAAAAATATTTTATTGCGATGGCAATTATATGGACACTCTCCGCTGGATTTTCTCGTCGGCGTGCCTCGCCGCGGTGGTCTAGTGGCTAAGGTACTCGGCTGCTGACCAGGTCGCGGGATCGAATCCCGGCTGCGGCGGCTACATTTCCGATGGAGGCGGAAATGTTATAGGCCTGTGTGCTCAGATTTGGGTGCAGATTAAAGAACCCCAGGTAGTCAAAATTTCCAGAGCCCTCCACTATGGCGTCTCTCATAATCATATGGTGGTTTTGGGACGTTAAACCTCACATATAAATCAATCAATTGCCGTCGGCGTTGACGTCAACGCGAGTGGCACCGTCGCTCACCGTATATGTAGCTCCTTGAACGTGGGTGTGGCCGTGTGGCGGAATGCCCGCGAAATGGTCGCGGGCGCACCTTAGATCTCCACAACCCAGAATGGTGGAAGCTTGACAGTGACCCTCCAGATGCCGTTTGCAGGGGCTCTGACGTCTTCTGTGGAGTCTGCAGGCACGGCCACAGCTGAGGAGTCGTTGCCAGGGTGCTGCTGCAAAGATTGTTTGCGTTGGTGCTGAAGCTTCTGCTCTTATTTCTGGATGAGCTCATGCTGGGTGCATAGGTGCCTCTCCAGTAGTTCAAGCCATTGTTGTAGGGACATTTTGCTTGGTTATGACGGTGCATTACTGTCCATTTTCTGGGTCGCCAAATGTGGGATTGTCGAGTCGGTGGAAAGATAAATATCCAACATGAAAAGATAATGACTGTCTATTTGCTTTGTAGTAGAAGTGGGCAAGCATATCAATGGCATGTGTGTCCTGGGTAGCAAAGGAAGGCAGTTTCAATCTTGGCAGCCTGCTTTGCGCAGAATATTCGCAGAATGTGGTGTCGCTACACATATTTTTTGTGACAAGCGTCAAGTTTTGTGTACTTCGTGCTGTGGAGCTACAAACCGTGCCATTCGTAATTGTTGGCGGTAAGGATAATCAATGTGCTGACAATGTTACTGTAGCCTAAATACAAGGGAATCTGGTCATCCCCAAGCATAGCATGAAGCAGGGCATCATTGGGTATATTTTTACATGAGCGAAGGCTATGCGCAACGCTTTTGAGCGTTTGTGTTGCTCTGCAAGTAGTGTGGCAGCTTGCGGCTGATTTCGGTTTTGCTCACTCGCATCGATAAAAGGCCAGTAAACAACCTCGTGGTCCAAATTTTCTAATGAGAACATGCTGCCGCAAGAACTTTGCGAATAAGGGCTGTAATAAGGAAGTTACAGGCCTTAAAACGACCCGCATTGGCTGGTTTCGGTTTCCCAATTGTCCTTTCCACCTTTTTCTCCCAGCAGAGAGGGGAATCGTAGCTCTTTGTCATGACTACGCCCACTTAATCAATGTAACAGGATGTCAGCATTAAGTCATTAGCATGCAGCCAACAACCGGGCAGGGCTTCCCCCACTTAAGGGTGTGTCATAGTGGTGCGGGGAGGAAGTGCAGTGCGAAGAGCACCTTTTCTCTAGTGGTAAAGTAGGGCGACGTCTTTGTATCACAGAGGCTTTCGTTCTGACAATACCATTTTTCCCAGTTGTCTTAGGCTCTACAAAATAGCAGAGAGCAGCTCAGGAAAATGAAAATGCAGACTGTGCTTAATTATTAAAACTGGCTCACTGCAAGGCCAAGGGGCTGTTTCATAGAGCAAAGAACCAATCGCCAAGCTCATGGGTGCGTAATGTTGCTGATGGGCAAGATTTCATTCCTGCGTGTACAAAAAAGATTGGTAAGTTGAAAGGGAAAAAAAAAAACTGATGTTGTTTTGCGAAATAGGAGGGTTTATGTGGTGCACAGCTCTACAGTGTTCACAGAATATGATCGCTGAAGTCTGTATGAGCTTGAGAATTAACTAGCTTATTTGTGTGTGTGGGGGGTTGGGGGTGTATCCTGTTTAGTGGCCTTTTAATACTTTTACAAAATTATGTGTACACGCTAATGTGAATGGAGAAACGTTTTGATGGTTCACTGTACATTTTGTTGTCATATTATAAGGATATTTTTTTTGGAGAACTAAACAATGAATTTGTAGCTGCGCAATGACCCACGAAGTAATGAACGCTATGTTTACTTTGGATAACGGGTGTCTCGAAGAGGTGGTGCTTTCTAATACCCGTGCCACACGGGCATAGAAAATGACATTCGGTGGCGAAGGCCTTCAGTTCCCAAATGACATTTTTTCGGCGGCGCTGCTACACGTCCAAAGTGAATGACATTTGACTTGATGATGTTGATCGCAGCACCTTCCAAGTGAGCATTGGGTGACGAACGGCATTCGTACGAATGCCATGTCGTTCGCCAGTGTGGCACCGCGCGAATGGCAATAAATCTGAAGGCATTCGGGGGTAAATGCCATTTTCTCTGCCCGTGTGGCACGGGTATAAGAGAAGAGAAAAAGAATTGAGGCATTCTTAAAAGTGACCAATAACTGTATTTCACCTACAACTTTCTGCAAGTGTCTGAGTCTGGTAATAAATAAAGGACAATTTATTTCAGCAAGGAAAATGAGCAAATTATCAGTAAACAGAAGTACTACTTTTTGGCATGGTAGTAGGCATGCACTTTAGCTCTGTACCTTCCACTGTGCTGTCAAGAAAGGTTGTGGTTAAGTATAGTATCTCACTGCACCAAGGTTCCACTGTTATGAATCCGCTAGCCAGGCTCCATGACTTTTTTTTTTCTTTAAACCTAACATGTTAAAATAAAACTGATCAAGGCATGTAACTGAAGTTATTGTACTCATTTACAAAGCTTGCAAGGACATTTTTGTATGCTCATAACAAAGTGTCAGATGCGTGCCAAAGGCACTTTACATTTAAAATTTTTAAAGTGGTGGAGTCTGCTGTAGAATGCAAGCAAGCATTTGGTCTCATTGTAGTGTAGACATAGCACGAGAACTATTTTTTTCTTCCTGGTTAGAGTAACCAGACAATAGAATTCACACCAATTTTCGTTGGCGCAAACAGCCTTTACATGAGAGGCTTGCTGCATACTTGTGATTGGGCAACAGGGAACCAAATCGTCCTAGAGCCAACTCTGTCAAGTGCTCTTTCTGACCGCAAAGCAGGTGGGATGAATGCTGTTATGTCTTTCTCGTGATTGAGGCACTAGCTGATATAACCTGATAACAGCGGCCTATTTTGGTGGTGATGTCATCTGCCGTGGGGTGCTTGTCGCACACACCATGAGGGAAGAAGAATTCACCCACAATTGTGATGCTGTGTGATGTGAATTCTGAGAGCAGCTGTTTAGGTGGTCTTGGTTTTGTGATAAGTTGAGGCGAATGCTTCTGCTTCGGGGGCCCACACCTGTGGGTTCTGGTGTCAGCGACATTGAGCCTCTGCTCGACCAGCTTTTTGAGCAGCAGTGGCATTGCTCATTGTTCATACAGAACTGGCTGAAACTGTTCTGTATATAGGTATACAGTATGTGTGAAGAAGAAAGTGCCGTAAGTAGAGTAAAGTGAAATGAACTGTATTTGGTCCTGGAGAACTGGTGAGACACCCCACTAACATGTATGTGCATTCCACAACAGCGGACGCTAGACGGCACGCACTACTGTGGTGCCTCAGGTGGCTGCTGTGAGACCTGTCATCTCTCTGCTGTCATTACGTCCTCCTCACACTCTCCTTGCTATCACTGTCTTTCATTCTTTGTTACACTTCGCATTCGCTCTCCTTCACCCTCGTTCGCTCTGTTCGTTGTGCTGACTACGCTCAACAAAGAAACGGGCCCCTAAAAGCTGCGCTCTAGAAGAAAAACAAGGTTTTGTGCTGGGATCTAACACAGGCATTGTGCGTGGCAGTCACGTGTTCCACCATTGTAGCACGCCAATGCTTTAAAAAAAGGGGGGGGGGGGTCCTATAAATACGTTATGGCGATTCAGGAGTCTCATTAACCAATGTAACACTGCCTGGCAGTACATAAAATTGCACCATGTTGATTGCGTAATGAGTGAGTGGTGTAAAGCTGAAAACCCATTACAAAGGGCTCAGCCATAAAATTTTCGGCAGCCACAGCATTAACAAAGTGTGCATCTATGCAGGTGCACACACTGGCATACAGATGCATGATTACTTCGCAAAATGATGGATTTTTGTGAAGTGGGTGTTTTGCAATTGTATAGTCGACCAAACTATACTGTGCAACGGCCACTTTATTCTCTCTTAGCACCATATCGTGGAACAAAGCTGCAAAAAATTGCTTTATGGACATGTGCTTTGCGGGCATACACTTGTTCTCACTTTTTTTTGAAACTCAATTCAGTTGTATGATAAAGATACACACAAAAAACTGCCACTCATGCACGATATCTAAAAATTAGGCCGACTGTACTTGCAATAGGTAACCCAGGAAAGTTTTACAATAAGCTCTAAGGCTGCTCTTCCAGCTTGTGTTGTGATTGTGCTGCGTGTTTCATGCAGATCTCTTTTTTTTCGTGACTTTTTGCATGCGTTAACCTTAATGACTTGTGAACACTATGTTGACCAGCTTCACTGATTTTTGTTTTGGTGCAGGAGAGCCTGTGATGGAGACAGTGGCGTCAGAGGAAATGGTCGCTGAGGCAGTTATTGAGGACTCTCTCTCATCCAGCATCATTGTGGATGACGACAAAGAAAGTGTCCAGTTGGAGCCTGAACATGGCACATGCGCTGAGCAGGAGACAAAGCCTGAGAGCGAGGTCAACAAGGAGGCCGTAGAGGCCCCTGTGGAAGAGGCTTGCTTGGAATCTGGATCAAAGGACAAGGATGACAGAGATGAAAAGGATGACATGGATTACCAGCCTGCAGCTGATGAGTCCGACTCGGCCAAAGATGCTGCGAAATCCGATGCAAATAATGATGAGGCTCCACTAGAATCTCCTGATGTACTGTCAAAGAAGGATGAACAGACATCAGGTGAGTGGCCATTGATAAAGTTAGCCAAGTGCAAATGGCCACATGGTCTCTCTGGAGCAAAAGGAAATGTTGAATATGACATTGTTCAATCAAATGCACAGTAACATCAAATATTTGCACTGGCCAAGCATATGCATGTTTATTGCACAGTAAGAAGGAAAAGTGAGGTTTGCATGCGTAAAGTACAAAATAAATTAGCTGGAAAAAAGCACTTTAAAATGAAGAATAATAAAAAGAGTGTCCTATATAGTGCCAGTTTTGGCCGTATTCATTATATGTACCGTAATTACTCGAATCTAACGCGCACCTTTTTTCTGGTTAAGCGAGTTCATAAATCGCATGCACGTTAGAATCGAGTACGAACAAAAAAATTACGGCCAATCTATTGCCTTCGGCAAATCTAACATGGCCGCCCCCTACGTGCGTCGGCATGGCGCGTCGTCCATTTCTGCCTATGTGTTTCTCATGTGCGGCACTTCGTACGTGTGCTGAGGAGTTCATCTAGTAGTGCATTAGCATCGACGGCGTGGAATGGCCAACTCCAAAAACTCGAGTGCACCACGATGCCGCTTTTAAAAGAAAAGTCATCGAGTGTGCAGAAACGGACGGAAATCGGGCCGCATCGCGGTCGTTCGGAGTTCCCGAAACGTGCGTGCGGGACCGGCGGAAACAAAAGCAGAAGATTTTCGACAGCAAAGCTTTACGCAAAGACTTCAGTGGACCACAGCAGGGTCGGTTTCCGCAAATTAAAGAGCTGCTCGGCGAGTATGTGCTTTAGCAGCGAGCAGCACAGCGGCCCGTGACGGCAGAACTGCTCCAAGTGCGGGCTATGCAATTAGTCTTAGAAAAATGTCTAATGCGGAGCCAGTTTAAAGCGAGCAGGTTCTGGCTAACTAAATTTATGAAGAGGAAAGGCTTTTCCCTCCGAAGGGGAACATGCATATGCGAAAAGTTTTGCGGAGGAGTACGATGAAAAGCTTCACAGTTTTCAGAGGTTCGCCCTAAACTTGCGGCGCAACAACGACTACCTGCTTGGGCAAATCGGGAATGCCGATCAGACGCCTCTTTACTTCGACATGCCTGGCACCACAACTGTCGAGAAGAAGGGGGCGAAGCAAGTTCGCGTGCTGACATCGGTCCACGGTAAAACTACAGTGACGGCAATGCTCTGTTACACGTCAGATGGGCACAAGCTTCGCCCGTACCTCATATTTAAATGGAAGACGCTCCCGAAAGGAGTCGTTTTTTCGGGTGGTGTGATCATGCGGGCCAGCGAGAAAAAATGGGTGCGCGTTGCAATCGATGTCTTACGTTTTTTTTTTTTCGCAATGGAAATCGGGTGCGCGTTACAATCGAGGGCGCGGTAGAATCGAGTAAATACGGTATATACTAAAGTGTATAATGGGTCACTTGTGATGTTTTTTACCGTAGGCAATTATTTTTATTGCATAAGGTAGTCCTTCACTTTGTTAAAATCTTTATAACGAGAGAAAAGAAGTTATCAATGCGCTGCAATGTTATTGTTATGTACCATTAGTGCAGTTTTGCAGTGAAGTAGTGTTGAATGCCGTACTCCAAGGCGTTTGGCAGGTAGAGGAGTGTGAGCAGTGTAAATTGAATAACTCATGATGTACAAAGGCTCTCTCTCTTTCTTTTTTTGAAAGGTTTACAACTGGATCTAAATTTGTACGTTATGTGCAACCTCGCTTAACTATGCTATAGGCTGATGGTTGTGTCATGTTGACATGCTGGATAAAAATGATACATGTAAAGAGGCAAAAGGTCTGGGCACTAAGTGTATATATGTGGAGCATTCTATGTTATGGTGCTAATATGAGAGTTTCTATCATTTTACTTGAGAAACCTCAAGTAAAATGATAGTTAATCTGTACTCTGCTGCTACCACACATTTCCGGATACATTATTTTGGGAGGGCAAATGTTTATTTGCTAAATGTCTCGTATAAACACTAAGGAACAAAATTTGAAGCGCAATAAAAAGGGACCGAAGAGTACACACGACAAGCACTGTCGTACAAACTTGTCCAAGCTTCCGTCCTTCTAAGTGTAAACACTACTAATAAAGACCACTAATGGTTATGAATGTTTATGCCTTGCAGAAGACGATCTGCAGGAAGATCCTCAGCTTACAGCTCATGAAGATGATGATGATGCAGAAGAATCTAAAGATGCCTGGGCCCCTGGAACAGTCAGCTCACCATCACCAGGTGAAGAGACCATGTATGACACACGGAGTGAAGACGATGGCGATGATAAGTTGAAGGATGACAAGTCATCTATAGATGATGCAAGAACAAAGACGCCCGAGACACCCAGTGGCACTGAGCCAGACATGAAAGATGATGCCTCGCAGCATATGGAGTCGGGCACTGAAGATGGCTCTGGAGATTTGAGTAAACATTTGCTTGGCTCTGTTGGGGATTCTGTTCCGAATAGCCCAGCATCTGTGCTGCAGGGGTGAGCATTACTCTTTTTTTACTGGTACTGTATAATCTCGATCAAAAGGAATTGCTTAAATGGGACACACTTTTTCCACATCTTCATTCGTAAATATTTTATACAGTAAAATATAAGTGATATTGATCTCAAAAGCAAGCAGAAATATTCATATGAACCAAATTTCTCATCTAAAAAAAATGTTAATGTTTGCACGGGGTCGCGCAAAGAAAATACTATATGAGACTATATGTAGTCGTCTTCTCTTGTTGCATCTTGTTCGTTTGCATTCAAATCTATTTGAGAAGAACCCAACACGCCCAACAAAGCATTCTATTAATCGGAGTAGTGGGATTTGCCCAAAATATGTGGTGCATACCCGTTTGTGATGATGATGGTGGTGGCAAGTTTGACACTTTACATCTGGTTTAAACAGTTTCACTGTTATAAAACTAGTGAAACATGTTTTTAAATAGTGATATATGCACAAAAGGTTTATTTGGGTAGAGAGAACTCGCATATGTCTATCTGGGACACATGCGAATGAATGAAGCTGGCTGCCGTGGATACCCGCGTCCGAGCTTCATCTGAAAAGGCCCTACAACAATTTCCTAATTAATTGTTGAATGGCTTCAGTAAAAGAGCTTATTGCCTCACAAGTCGAGTGCCGCAAAAATTTTTAGAATCCAAAACTTACAGCGAAATTTCAGAGGTTTTTCGCAGGCTTCAAACGCTTTCTCTTTCCTTTGACACTAAGGAGCTAGCTGCATGCTATGCTGGGAGTGGTATGACAAAGAGGCTAAAATGTGCATTCTTTTGTCAGTGCGCATCATTACCCATGGCTTACTTTCTATATGATCGCGGGCATGTGGTGGCATCCTGCAGTGGCCTTGATAACTATGCAGTTCACGATGCTCAATACAGCTGAATGGCTGTGGGCATTGGGTTTTTGACACGGTAATTTGGATTTACGGCATCATTCTCGGGTTAAGGGGGAGCAATTTGAAATGGGTTTCGAGAATCAATTGCAAATTTCAGGCCACTTGCAGCGATGTAATGTTTGGCTCACGTGTTCTCAGAAGCCTCGACTACCAATCAGCAGCATTTGCGAACCACGCTGACAGAATGTTGCTATGTTTCTTTGGGGTTAACTTGAAGCTTTGGTGTGTTTAGTCTACTGCCGCATCAGCCGCATAGCTATGAACAGCTGCTTATTAGTTGCTGTCTATGCTCACATGGATAGCTACCGCAGTTTTTTGCGCAGAAGTTGCGGCTAGCGGTAGTTCTGTTTTAAATTTGTGTGCACTAGCAGTGCCCGTGCCTTTAGAACTGTGTGCTGCTATCTATGATAATGTCTACCTCGGTTACAGCTAATGACTTGGTGAGCATTGGTACGCCTGTACTTTCGTAGCTGTCGTCGCTGCCACAGAGGATTGTGTCCACAGCGACCGTGCAGTTTTTTTCGCAGCAGTTGCGGCAAACATTAGTTCCATTTTCAGTCTCTGGGCGCTGGCTGCAGGCGTACTTCCTGAGCATGCTGCTGTCAGTTGTTGCTTAACGGTATCTGCGCCCAATATGGTATCGCACGGTGAGGCATGCAGAAGGGTTCAGAGCATTCAAATTATGGCTCATTGAACACAGTGGGAATTTTACGAATTTGTGTCGGACCGAAATTTGTGTCAGCTACGTTACGCACCAAAAATCGCCGATAACCTTTTCTCCTTTTATGTGCACTGCCTGTAAAAAGTGATACAATGGCCTTATAAATGAATGAAGGTGGTGTTCTTGCTGTTGCTGTCAAAGCTCTCATGCAGGAGCTGAAATATCTTTTGATGTAAACATTTTCTCCCTTGGCACCATGTGTTCATGATTGATGTATTCTTCCCCGATCAGACAAATTTTGACTTTAGGGGGTTACTATGTTTTCATTATTTTTCTTGTATATACAAGAATGCGCCTTTCATAGTATAAGCAGAGACAACTAATGAGTGTATTTTCTGGTCGGTCTTCAGTGCTGATTGCTTATTTGGAAGTGAGTGTAGCTGTTGGAGCACTTAAGAGCTGTAAAAGGCATACTATGCTGTTCTAGGTTTTTCAGACAAATCCTGGGCCCTGTGGGCTCTGTAAAGTTAGATGTGGTCTGTAGCATGGCGCTTCATTTTGTGTGGTTGTTCCATATAGGCATCTTTCACAAAGGCTGCCTAAGTACAGAAGGAATGTGCAAAAATTTTATTGGCTACACTGCTATACAGTTGAACTCCTTCATAAGATGCACTGAGCAGCAGTTTTTTACCTTTACATAAGGTGTCTCTTATAAGCAGGGTATCACGTATGCATTTTTATACAGTACAGGCACACTTGGAGCGGGAGCTATTCTCGGTGTGTCCACCTTGTGTACCTGTCCACCTTGACGGAGCGGAGCGCATTCAGTGACTTGAAAAAGCAGCGAGCAGTGACGTCGTGGTGCTGTTGACCGCATCAATGCACCATACTTGCTAGTACATTTCCAGCGTAAAGAGAAAGTGAACAAAATGTGCAATAACAGCATACGTAAACAAACTTGACAAGTATGAACATGTGCATCAAGGAGTCCAGGTGTTTGAAAACAATGCCGGGAATGCTACATCAAACCTAATTCAAGGGCTAGTGGGATCTAGAGTTCTTGCATGGCCTCCAAGATATGCGTTCCAGGCAGATTTCTGGGGACAGCATTTGTTGTTGTTAAATGCATTCCGTCCCTCTGATTTGGGTTGAGAGATCTGAAAGCTTCACGACGTTAGAGTGATGTTGCGGAAGATGGAATGGAAAGAGGTGTGCTGCTTGTCGAGCCTCAGCCAATAAGTGGAGGCTTAAGTGGACAGTCCACAAGGTGAACACATCGAGGATCGTGCCTCTGGTGTCTCATACCCTTTAGTAAAACTTGTTGTTGGGCTAGTTAGTGGTTGTCACAAGAAAATTAGATGACACAAACCACCGAAAAAGAATAGGCAAAAGAAAAGAGCGTCACTATCGGGAAGAAATAAGCATAAGTTAAGGCTCGTTGTAGAAAAAATATATTTAGTAAAACTTGTTGTTGGGTTAGTTGGTGCATATGACAAAAATCAGACTCAAATCATCGATGAAGAATAAGTGAAAGGAAAGATCATCGCTTTTTTCTTTTGCGTATTCTTCCTGGCGGCTTGCGTAGTCTAATTTTCTTGTCTCATACCCGTTTGTTCCATACATCAGTGTTTACATTTTAATAAAACAATTGAAATGGAAAAGTGTGCCATTTTCCCAAAGTCTGGAAGCTCATATTTAAAAAATGGTGCCATCTTTATAATTTGGCCCAAATGGACGTTCTTTTCTATCTCTCTGACTGGTTTTTTTTGAAAAGCATTATATGTTGGAAAGCAGCCAGTCCAAAACTTTATTAGTGAACTTTTGTTAATAATATTTTTTTGCTGTAATTCATTGTGCAGATAATGTCTGCCTCTCCAAGCAATCAAAGGTGAAAGATGTGACATGTACGACAAGCAACTCAAAAAATTCTCTTAAGTTTAAACAAGTATTTGTTATGTGTTGAAAGCAGTTTTGTTTGCTTGTGCTGGAGTGTCTCAGTAATATTTTTCTTCCTTCTTATTAAGTTCGGAGTGAGACTTGAGATTTATGTTCTACTGTGTTGCAGGGAGGATTCTGAGGTTGTTAGAGACTACAAGGTATGGAAGAAAGCTATTATGTTGGTCTGGAGAGCAGCAGCAAACCACAAGTATGTATATACCTATAGATGTGGGGCTCTTAAAGTGAATGTATTTACGTTTTCTCTGCATTTTTGCTTCCAGATTTGCAAATGTGTTCTTACACCCAGTCACAGAGGAAATGGCCCCTGGTTATCATAGCATCGTACACAGGTTTAAAGAATTTTTTTAAAAAGAATTTTTTTGAAATGCTAATTCTTATTACAGTCTTTCTCTGTTTGACCTTATTTCTTTGTTTTTTCTGTAGACCAATGGATTTGTTGACAATCAAGAAAAACATAGAAAATGGCTGCATCAGAACAACCTTGGAGTTCCAGCGTGACATGATGCTTATGTTTCAAAATGCCATCATGTACAACAATTCTGATCACGATGTCTTTCACATGGCTATTGAAATGCGCAAGGAGGTCATGAGACACATACAGGTCAGTGCCTATTTCTGTGTTGATGTTAACGTGCCCTCCAAGCTTTGGTCAAAATTATAGAAAAGTGCAAATGCAGAAAGTAGTTTACCTTAGATGGTCATTTATTTTGAAAAGAGTGCAGTAAAACCTCGTTAATTCAAAGTCGTAGGGATCATAAGAAAATCTATTTAATTCTTGTACCCTTAAGGGCACCCATACGAGCGTATTATCGTACTTGCGAAGGAAGTCCTGGTACATTCAATAAAAAAAAAGGGAAAAAACAAAAGCTTACATCAATACCAGTGCACAAAGTACAACTTTCAAACATGGTGAGAAAAAAAAAAAAGCTTTATAAAACATGAAATTAACACATCATTATGGCAGGAACTTGCAGTTAAGCACATATATGAAATACTCGGTGCGAGAGCTGTAGAAAATGTGGAGCAGCCTTTGGAGATGGTCGCATGCATGAGGAAGCGCATGTTTACGTTACAAATGAGGAGCCTGCTTGGCATCTGCAGTGCTAAAGGAAACCTTGATTTGTTACGCAGAGGCACCCTTTCCTATTTCGTTGCTACACTATACACGTCTATGCTACGCTTTATCTTCTCCCCTTTCCATCCTGCTCACCCTCACTTCCTTTTACATATAGTATATGGCTCTGCTATAATAGCACTGGTGAGCATAATGCTGAGCGACGGCATGAGATGAGACAGCTCGGGCCTCTAAAGTGCTTCACATCTAAAAATGTTTAAGCTATATCAAGTTTTAGAAATTATGTGTTAGTGTGCATGTGTGTGGGTACACACACACACAGAGATGCATAAAAGGGGGCATCCAAGCAAAACACTTTGTTGCATAAATACACTACAACAGGGGGAAATGATCTTCAGACATGATGTTTCACTCTTTAAAAGGAACCGACAAAATCTCAGAACATAAATTAAGGATTGCCTATTGTCTAGTCTGAAGCGAACGCTGTTTTCTCATTGTCTATATTAGCGTCGAAGTGCAGCACCCTATCATCTCTTATAACATAAAGCATTCAGATATGCATTCTTTTACCCTAAGCAGAACAGTGGCTCGTCGCCTTTGCTTGATGTATGACATGATCAGGGGTGCAACAGCTGCGCAAAATGGGCCAATTTGACACATAACTTCGAAACGGACATGGACAACATGAGTGGAAACTTCGAACCACGTTTGTTCGGAAACGCGTGTGAATGTTGTCTACGTCTCTTTCTTTTGTCTCCATTTTTTGGCACTAAGATTTCGAAGTTACGCATCTTTACAAACCCGCCCAACTCCAATTTCCAATTTTTGTGCCGAGCTGCAGTAAAACCATGAAACTTGCCAAAATTGCACCAAAATGCCTGACCAGCCTTCAAATTTTTTCAGTTGTTCTAATTTCAGTGAGAAATGGAGGCCACGATGGTCACCTGTGGCTTGCATGATCAATCAATCCAGAGATTCAGGCACACAGACCCTAACCCTAAATGACAGTGTAAAATATATACTGATTAGGCCAGGACACCTGCAAAACGCAATTCACCAGATAAGGTAACAACACCGTTCACCCATCGTTTCGTTGACCGCAGCGGATATCTATCGGCGGGACGACGGAAATTCAAGACCGAAATCTGTTGCCGTGGCCAGCGACACTGTGTGGGAAATGTAAATTTTGTAGTCAGCAAATGCTGAAAGCGTATGCCGCTGCTACTGCGCGTGAGCAAACAAAGTACTGTGAACGCCGGCATTGCGGGCGACAACTTTGGTTGCCATATCAGTGGCACATGCGATAGATATCGGGTGCCGTTGCTGGGTCACCAGGCACGTGCCGTTGTAACTTTATGTGCCAAACGGGCCTTGCAAGCGAGCCGAGAAGTTGTGCCCTAAACCCACCGTCAAAAAAAAAAAAAAAAAGAGAGAGAGAGAGAGAAAGAAAGAAAGAAAGGTGGCGGGGTGGATTATGGGTAAGTTAGAAAACATTATTCCTTGTTCTTACCCGTGAAGAACGCCGCTTAAGCCACCTTTGGGGCGGTACACTGGTGGCCCATGGAAAAGCGTTTTAAGATTTGGAAGGGGCTGTTAGCACTGTTGGGACACAGCACAGTTCGTTCAGTTACTCATGCATGTGTGTACCGCATAATGTTGGTGCTAATACAATCTCTGAGGTCTAAAACACTTGCTGGCAACAATTTTGTGCACTGTAGAACATTTCTGCAGCCCTAAAAAAAATCTAACAAAACTGCATGCCAGTTTTTTTCTTTCATTTTTGCCACACCTACTCCTCAGTTTTACGAATCTTAAAATTGCCAGCTTGGCAGATCCATATTTGAATGCTCAGACTCTGTCGAAGGATTTAACAGGCGTGGCTGACGCTAATGTCAATTTTATTATTGTTTGTTAGCGGGGTAGTCAGAAATACTATTTTTATTGAAACAGCAGTGTTCTTATTCCGTCTGCACAGTTTAGGTGATGTTGAAGGTTTGTACGTGTCTTTTTTTTTATACTGCTCCAAGTTTGTGTACATGTCTCTTTTTTTTATACTGCTCCAAGTTTGGTTTTTTGTGATAAAAAAAATTTTTTTTCGTAATCTGCTTGAAATTTAAATTTTAGTGCTCCGAAAATTGCTCCAAATTCTATTTCAGCTGTTGCATCTCTGTCTAATGTCCATAAGCGGCAGCATGAATATTGTTAGCCGAGGGCCTAGCGGCATCTGCTGAAGTGTTGAAAAAGTACGAAGAACGTCTCGTGGCTTCTGAGATTACCTCCGGCAACACATGCCTGAACTAATCACGCAGACCACGAGCGCGTATCTCACTAGTTGGTAAACAGGTCTCGCTTGATACAAGTGCTCAGAAAATTTGTTCTAGAGTTTTTTATGTTCTAAAATGGTTGAAATTTTCTATATAAAGGTGGGTAACCACAGTTTCACCTGCTTCTAGAAAAGCAAAACCTTTAGCCTATTGTGAATTCTATCGGAATTGCTATCATTTCACAGTGTTGCTGGAGGATATCTTCATGCAGTGGAACTTTGATTACACGGCCCCCGGTTTGGCGACGACTCGGATTTTACAAGGAATCGGTTTGGTCCCGCAGAATCTCCATAGAAATATTGTATTAAAAACCGAGGTTATATGACACAGTTTTACGCCAACCTAGCATCTTGCGATGACTTTCAGATTTTGTCCGAAAAAAAAAAAAAAAAACACATTTATGGCGTATTCGGTTGGCCGCTCTGATTCTCTGGCTCAGAGCCGCCAGATGCAGAGGCAGCTCGCAATCGGAGCGCGAGAGACAGTGTACCAACCGTATACATCAGCGATTTCTGAGCGCTCAGAGCAGCCAAAAGCAGCGCGCGTGTAGCACCACCGCGCAGTGAGCTGCCGAGGAAACATTGCTGCGCCGTGCCAACAAATGATGCCGATCAGTTCAGTGGACATCTCCGACTAGTCTGACCTTTGTTATTGTTTCTTTCTCTGAAATGTTTAGATATAGCGAAAACCTCCTGAGCACAGCGCATAAATCTGGCAATCATCCTCGTCCGAGCTGCTATCTTCAAGGCATATTGCGAGGAGCTGCTGTAGCGACAGCATGACGTTTCCTCCACCTTCGCTAGCCTCTTTGTTCGCCCCACACACACGCAAAACGCGATTAACAAGGCACGTGTACGAAGTATTAGGCGCCCGACGATACCCCCTTCCGAAATGCACACTCGCGCTCCTCACGTCGTTCACCTGCCAGCAGCTGCGTGAATGGCTGGCTTGTGTTACGTGATCTGTCCTCCCGGTCAGATCACGTTACGCTCTCACTTCGAAGTCAGAGCAACGGGGAGCGCTCAGAGTCAAAGGCTGACGCTCTGAAAGAACCAACTGAAGGCGCAGCCACTTTAAGAGCGCTCGAAAATGCCCAAACGAATACGCCATTACTCAAATAAAAGTTTGACCAAATATTCACGAGTGCAAAATATAAACTTGCGTTCCCGTAGGTTGATGATTAGAAAAGTAGAGAGTGAGACAGGATGTCTTCTTAGAATGGAAATTTTATTCCCCTGGAAGCTCCTGCTCTTTCACACACCTTGTTTGTTTCGTATGTATCCAGTGTTGTTATCTAATCAAGCTAGCTCTATCCACACTGAGTAGCTTCAGCCAGCTGAAAAGCTGATATTTCACATTTTTGGTTCATGGAAACTTTTTCTGGTTGACATACAGCTGATCTCCTGTTTTTGTCGCACTCGCAGTCACGGGCTTGTGCGCGCACAAGGGCCATATAAAAGTGGGTTGAGAGCAGTGTGTTGTCGGTTCCTTTAAGTTGGGCTGGTTAAAACCTCACTGATTATGCAATTCTACTCACTTTTTTTATCTGCCAAACTTGGTGTTACTGAAAGTTAGGAGAGATGCTTGTATGCCATGTTTAGTAGTTTGCGACACCAAGGGTAATGTTTTCCATATGTCCAGCTACTGTACATTATGTAGAACCTCTATTTTACATCTTCTGGTTTTACAACAAATCGTTTAGTCTTGGCAGAACCATCATAGAAATAGTGTATTAAAGGCATTGATTATACTGCCACATGGTTAGAGTGTGAAGACGACTCTATTGGGCTATTAAAGACTAAACTTTTTATTTGGGCGAACTTGTGCCAAGAACATGAAATGTCAAGGTACAAGCATTCCAGACACTGATAGTGGCGAGAACACTTATTGGCCAGTGAGTAATGTGATGATGAGCGCCAAGGTGTGTCAGCATTTATGTATTGAAGGTTCCAAGCTTATCATTGGTGGTCACATTAATTCCAGAATAAATTCTACTGTTCACATTGCACACTTCTGCTTATGAGAATGATCTAAAATAATTGAGAATGTATGACATTTTGGAGTGGTGTGCACAAGACAATTGTCACACGTGCAACGAGCCAGATTGCGTGAAAAGTGTATGCAGAAGTGCATGTGGCAATAGGAAGAAATTTCACCCCATCCTTGAATCTTACGAAAGCTGCCTGATACCATCCCAGGTGC